ATAAGCTTTCTTATGTGACTTTCATTCAGGAAGAGGACTCAAAGCACATTATTTATACACAATGCATCTGAGGAAACTGGAGACTCTGGCTCTGCTAGTCACAGCACTGGGCTTTCAAAGTGAAAGTTAACTGCTTATTCAGATTACTCTAGTATTAACATCTGGTAATTTGAACTAGTTTAACTTTTTGACTTCCTATTTCATGGTAGTACATTTTTCCTATAGTTCTTTTTAAAAATAATTTTAATGTAAAATATTTTTGAGCTAGCTAAGATTCATTTTTCTTGCATCCACTTGAGTCTTTTTTCTGAAAATGCACACACTTCGCATATACTAAACTTTCAGTATACAGCGAATGACCACTGAGAGCTGGAATGCTTTTTGTTAGGTATGCATGTAACTGTTGAGGTCCAAGTTTCAAGTTCATACTTTGCCACTAAGACAAGAAAAAGCCAAAAAATCTAAACTGTTTGCGTGCCTAAAGTATTCAGACTTTTCTGTTGGAGATGTAACAATCACTGACTGGTATAGATAACTATTGCCATGGCTCACATTAATAAAATTTCATATTTCTTTGTTTGCCAGCAGTTCTATGATTGCCTCTAAATGGTTAAGCACACTATGATACATATATATTAAGGAATATAAAAAAAAAAATTAAAAGGTCAGATCCAACATGATGCAGCTGGAGAATGATGCAAAGAAAAAATATTGGAAAATTAAGGACAAAATTATATGAAAGATCACTCATTTACATAGAACAGCCTGGGTGCTATTAGAAATGTGGCAACAAGTGAGGAAAATAGATCATCTACCATCTGCAGACAATTAAACTCAAAACTGCTGCTGCATAATATTTTGAAATATCCCTCTGCAACACTGAAACACAGCATTGATAGTAGCTGCTAGAGTACTGTTGCTGTTGGATTTAAAATATTATAATATCTTTTCCTCTCTCATAATTAATGAAAGCCTTCCAATATTGCAAAATTAGAACAATACTGTCTCCCTTTGGAGAACTGAAATCCTAGGAGACAACCAAGATGTTTCTATCCAGACAGTGTTGTAAGTCATACCAGAAAATATAGTACTAATATAAATCACGAAACACCACAAAGTTGATAGCAATTAACTTGGAGGAGTTTTGGAATGTTTTCTACTTCGTCTGCTGAGATTTTAGTCATTTAGCTTGAAGAAAGAGTAAATATATGAAAGCCATATTTCAAGCAAAATATGACAACCTTTATTACCACTGGTACAAAAATCTCTGCCTGATTTTTGTTTGTTTGTTTGTTTAATTATCTTGTCAAAAATAATGGGAGTGGAAACACTGCAGTCTCCACATTTGTATATATACCAAATAGTCAGAGAGAAGAAGCCTTTCTCTACAGAAAACTAAGATCAGAAGACTCTACATAACAAGAATATGCTGTCTGATCCTCCTAGCAATCAGTAGCAGAAGTTCCCTTTGACTTCAGCAGAAGCAGAAGAACTTTCAGCTCTACAAAACTCAATATTCTCATCCTAAATTACATTTACAGTCATCGCAATCATGATTTTTATATGATCTCTAAAAGAACACATTTAACAGAGGTTTCATTTGTAAAAAGGTAATGGTCATAAAACAAAATCATTTTTTTTAAATGCTACAAGTTGAGGTTGTTTAAAATATACTTGATGGAATGAGAAAGTATTATCCAGCTACAGACCCTACACATGGATTTGACCCACTAGAGTTAGGATGTACTTTTCTAGAGTTAGGCTGTCAATATGATAAGAGGCTATCCAGTACACTTTGGCTCTGATCCAGCAACAGTTTAGTGTGTGCCAGTTGAGCACATGCTTGACAGTAAGCACATGCATTATTCCCGTTGACATCAACCAGAGTGAAAAGTGGAGTACCTACTCAAGCGTTCTGCTGGATCTGAGGCAAGAAAGCGCTGTATCTTTATATTACACTTACTAATTTATTTTAACAAAAAATACAAAAGCATACAGTGAGCCATGGAATAAACACTGCAAAACTCAATGGTAAAACAGAATCTCAATGACCTTAAGATCTCGAGGGCACCAGAAAATTTTAGATTATCTGGGGTTGGGATATACAAGGAAATACAGCTAGTAAATGATACAGATATGATCACGTCAGGTTCAGAACTTCCATATTGGTCCTGAGGGCAGACTTCAAATGGGTTAAACATATGCCCTTAATATAGACAATGAGGCGGTTTGGCCAAGCTCAGCTGTCTCAGTGGAGCAGCCTGGAAGCTGCCTTGGGCTATCCAGATCCCAAGAGGGCCTGCCAATGTATTTGGTGCAATCCTTTAATTCTGTGGGAATGGAACTGCAGAAGGTTTCTGCAGTCAGGGAATCAAGAAGCAATCAGACAGCTGGCTGCACTGCCATATTTGTTTTACAGGCTATATTATATGGCACAGACCTTTACCCAGCAAAATACTTACATGTCTACTTTAAGACAGAATAGTTGTAATGTAGTCAGCGAGATTATTCTTTGTGCTCAAAATCAGGTACCTAACCGACTTGATTAGGGCCTAAAGGCATATGGTTTCCCACATACATATTAAATTCTAAAGTACATCTCCTAAATCCAATGGCCTACACAAGACTGTATGTATTTTCAGTATCAGACCTTAATTTAAAAGAAGATTATACCAGTTTTATACATGAATGGCCTAAAGCACTTCCTTTTAACTTTAAAAAACACCAAACTTGAACTTCTCAAGATAACAGAAGCCCAGAATACAAACATTTCAGAAACAATATTATTATATGAAAACTAGGTGTTGTACTGGAGAGTGTCTGCAATCTTTGTAAGAAGCACTGTAATAAATAATGGACACAATGAGCAAAGACACAAAGAGCTTAAGTAGCTTACTGTCTAGTAGCTATACTGTAGTCATAAAACAGTGGAAAATGGTGCGTGTCTGTCCGAGATCAGGTACAGTGGTCGGAGCAGCCTTTGTTTCCTGAGGTACAGGCAATGTGAATGTTGTACTAAGCTGTTTGGTGGGGGGTGTGGACAGAAAGGGAGGTGAATAGGAGAGGACAATTCTCTATCTTGCCCCACTGCAGGTGTGGTGACTTCTGACCTACAGCCATTAAGCATTTTAGCTACTTTTCTAGTCTATATATGGGAAGTTCAAAAAGGGCACAGAAGTGTGCTTTCCTTTCAAGTATCTCTGTTAGATCTAAAGGGAAAAAACCTGTATAGACAGGTATGAATAATATAATATTAAAATATGTTATGGTCTCCATTTTATTTTTAAAAATTAATATAGTTTAAAAATATAATACAGTAATTCAGTTTATAAGCTTGGAAATCAGTGCTCTACAGAAGCCCTCTCAGAAAGTTTTGCACCAGGGACTATAAATGCCATTGAGGAAACCTTTGGTTTCAAAGTCCTCACAACAACCCCCCACATTATTTTATAGGCTACGCAAAGGTATTAGGAAGAATTCTGAAACATGCTTTCGAAACAGAAATGTATGGAGATTTGTTTAAAATAAAAGCTGCATTTCTTACATCTCCACTGCCAAATGGGTTAGCTCAAAGTAGCTTGTTGCTATGGGAGCTATTCCAATCCATAAAGTTACCCTTGCTTCTCAAATGAGAGAGTAAGATTTTTCAGTCAGTCAAGTAAACGAAATAGTTGAACATCCATTAGTGATCAGGAATACAAATCTTCAAATAATTTAAAATCCATTCCTCTAATCAGCTATTATGATTTCTAAGGTAATGTAGTCTACTCCTGGTATCACTGAAGCTATTGGAAAAGAACAACACAGGATTCCACTTGAATCTGGAATTAATCTCTCATCTATATTTTATTGGGTTTTAGTTTAGATATATGTAAATTTTCTATGGTTTAGTAAGCAGTCAGTAAATTAGAATTAAAACTACTTCCTTTAGTTGTGGAAAAAAAAACCTCCAAAAAACCCAAACCAGGAACCAGTTCAAAGAGTCACAAAAGCTGTATTTGTCACATTAGTGACAGTCTTTCAACAGAGGCAACTATATGTTTGTTACTTTGAAGTAACGAGATTCTCATCCATCTTATTTAGTTTTAGTGGTGGTGGTGGAATAGTGACGTCATGGTGGAATCAGTTATGTTAGGTATAGTCACTATGAGACATGGATGATCTCCTGCAAGGAACAGTGGTACAGGGATGAAGTAATTTTTGTTTCTTACTCTTATCAGGTGCTCAAAGCGCAAGGTGGTATTACATGTTCCTACTCACAGCAGTACTTTCCTTTTCCTCTATTACAGTCTCCAAATAATCACATTATCCCATCACTTCTTTTTCAGGCTTTGAAGTTGCCACCAGCTAGTGGTACTAAAAAGGTGAGACTACAAATATAATCACAGACAGATCCTAGCCTTCAAAGTTAAAATATTTCAACAGTATGTTTACCTTTTCCTGTTTGGGGATCAAACCCATAGCTAGCACTGTCTCAATTATACAAACTTGTCTCACAAATGGTAGTATCATGTGCTGACAGTCCAATAAATATAGCTGATCTTTACCATGAAAATGAAGAACACGATTTCTCCACTTTTCTTTTATAAAGAAACGAAGATAAGATAATTGCTTACAAGTAAGGGGTAATTTTTCACTACAGATGTATAAGCAGCTAGTACGCACTCTGCAATTGGCAATTTTACAATTCTACTATATAGAGAAAAGTAAAAAATATTTATTGTGAGATCATATAAAAACCCAGAATGAATGTTAAAACCTCCAAGTTCAAGCAGACAACTAAAAAAGAGTAATACATTTATTTTTAAAAACAAACAAACAAACAAACAAACTAACTAACTAAATAAATCTCAGCTAGAGACACAAATTAATCATTTAATTCTGTAATAGGTTTAGTGATGCCTTTTAGCAATGTAAACACTTCTGGAAGTTTGCAAAAACCACGTGAGGGAAAAGTCAGCAGGCTGAAATACAGAATACAGGACATGATATGAACGTACCTTTTGTGGCTACCCTGACGCAGTCAATTTTGGTTTCCTGTGTCAAATAAAGAGGAAAAAGGTTACATTTTGTGTTTCTAAGCAAAGGAAGTAATCCATGATTCTGTTCTTAAAACTACTGATAAAATGTCAGAGAAGTGTTAATTTAATGTGCCTCATTACATATTTAACTGCTTAGTAAGCAACTCCAATGTGCTTTCATAACAAACACTGCTTAGGTATGGTACATAAACATTGCCCTTAATATTCCTTTAAAACTAGAAAATATGTGAAATATATCCACAAGAGCACAGGGAAGTTAGGCTTTTTCACTTTGGCAATATAATGACCTTGAGAGATTTTTCTTTTTCTTACAGATAGTATAGTTTGAGGCATCATGTTAGACAATTTTAGAAAGAAAAAATAATCAATGGTGTTTCACATTTCTGCACTGTCAGTGCACTGTGAAAGAGGGACCATTATGGCTTCTGGCAGAAAACATTTCCAGGCTGTCAGCACAGACAGCCAATGCTTATCAAGAATTGAAGGGCTCTGGGTAGGGCTGTCCAGGAAATGAAAAACAATTCCAGGAAGAATTAGCCCGATGAAACATGATCTGTGAAGACCTTTTTACACACTATTCATTTCAGTTCCATCTACTTATTTTTTCTTTTACTATTTGCAAAAAGGGGGGGAAACCAGTGGTTTCTAATTCAGTCAGGGTGACTAAATGAGAAAATGGAGTCCAAGACATAACAAACTAAGGTAATGGGACTGGACAGGCCAAGACAGATGTGCTAAAATACACAATCAAGTTTGGCTTAAACTTAATGAAAGAAATCACAACACTATCCTCCTCAAAGCAAGAAAACAAACAAAAAAAAAAAAAGAAAGAAAAAAGTCAGTCAAACACACTCAAAAACAAAAAAAAAAAAAAAAGAAAGAAAAAAGCCAGTCAAACACACTCGTTGGACAGCTTTTAGATAGTAAGATAGAATGGTAACACACTACTTTGCCTAGTCACTATTGACAAAACGTGATGATTTCCTCTCCTCTTTCCTGTAACCTTTAAACATTAAGCAATATTGTGTTAGGAAAACTGTTATTTTTTAAACTCAGTGTGTTAAATTTCACGGTTACTTCATCTTCTCATTAGCAACTAAATTGGGCATCTTGCTAGTTAGTGGCAATATTCTATTTACACACAAATACTATGTAAAACCACATCTGTCATAAGACTCACCCCATTGGCTCTGCTAGCAGCCTGAAAATAGATGCTGTAGCTCTTGTGAGGAAGAAGAGGAGTGTTCCAGAAACCATTGTAGGTTTTGTTATCACCAATAGTAAAAGGTTGAGCAGCTTGTAAACCATTGGCTGGAAACTCAGCAGCAAAGTAGTACTGGGAATTCAAAAGGGAGGCATTCTGGAAATGAATGGGCACTGGGTAGCACTTCAGGATTTCAGTTGTCTTTTTGGTCCTCCGTGGACGTTCTTCTTCAACAACTATTTGATAGACACTAAAAGTATAGAAAGGAAAGAACAAAAGAAACATATGCGTTATTTTAAGACTTGGGCAGTCAACTCATTCTGAAACCATAATAGCATACCAGTATTTATGGAAAAAAAGAACTGTTAAAAGCAAAGGACATGGGAGGAAAATGTCATTTTGATATTCAGGTGTGAGAATTTGTGGAATAGATTCATGCTTCCAAATAAATTAATTTTGTTTTGGAAAAACAAAATTAGCTATACACACCACAGCTTTTCATATAGCAAATGCACAGAGCACTTCCTTGTTCGAACTCTTGTGCAGAAAAAGCTTGCTTGATTAGATCTAAAATGTATAATTAATTATTATTTTGTTCACAGAAGTACAAAGATATATATTTCATCCTCTAACATGTCTAAATAAAATGAAATTAGTAGTAAGATAAAAATGAAGAAATAAAATACAAAGAGAGGAGGAATACTATTTGCTTAACTGTTGAAATTATAACTATTTATAAAAGCACATATAGAATAAATTAGTCTTTTAAAATTTTGGTGGCATACTGACTGTTACTGAGCAAGAATAAAACACTTTTTGATGGAAGTTATTCTCACTCAGCAACGCATTTTTACACATCTTAGAGATAACCATGTTTTCAAGTGTTTGTACTCTGCGAAGCAATACAGTTTGTACTTGTATTCTTTGCTGTACTGGGACTCTCCACTGTAAAGGTGCTATGGACATTCAAGTAGGAACAAAGAAACTGTGATTTCTGCTGTATATGCAAACAGTGTGATCATTATACCCTTGCAGTTGCTATAAAAGCCTGAGTCAGTGCTTTCAAATTTGTGAAGTGGGAAGTCCATGTCTCTAAAGAGGATTGGCTTGCAAGTTTACTGCTTCACTGGAGGCCAGTGATTCTTAATCATTATTTGTCTCCTGGAATCTTGAATCCCAGTAAGTCTGTAGTGGTAATGATGTTAAATCAGCAATGTGTCCACATTTTTTAACATCATCTGCATCTAATAACAATTTATGATCTTTCAAGTTGATAATTCATAAATAGCAGCAATCTCTGGGTAGGGTATGTTCCTTAAAGATGAAATACCCACACAGTCTTCTGATATGTTGTTCCAACTCTCATCTGTAGGTAGCTGATCATGCTTACAAAAGACCCTGCCCTAAGTACAAGGACATTTGGGCTTAGCTTCTGCAGGTCTCAGTCTGGACCCAACAGGGTTTATTTGCTTAGTCATATCACTGTACAGCTATGGCTATTCCCCTTCTGAAGGAAAATCTGGTTTAGAAATAAAAGAGATTACTTTGTGCAGTCACCAAACTACCTCACAGCCAGTGAGCTCCTGCACTTGCTGGGGCTCTGCTAGCCTCAAGCTGTTTTGAGCGCTTTCATAGAGCTCTCCAGCTCTTGCACACTCTGGAGTCTTACTGAGTCAGTGCACGACCAGACTAACATACTGCTTGTACACTCAACCTGCCTTTGCACGTTTAGATAATGTTGTGTGCTTGAATGATGCGCCTTCTGTTCAAGGTTAGGTTGGATGGGGCTTTGAGCAACCTGATCTAGTGAAAGATGTCCCTGCACATAGCAGGAGGGGTTGGACTGGATGATCTTTAAAGGTACCTTCCAACCCAAACCATTCCATGACATCATGATTCTATGATAGCACAATGCTAGGTCTGCAGAGCCTTCATAGCTGAACATCACGAAGAAGAATAAGAATGCAAATTCTCTTGGCCATCTTACTGATTTTTTTACCAGATCTACTAACCATGTGCAACAGACCTCATTCAGTATGGTTTTAAGATCTAGCAGCTCCAGCAGGAGATGCTGCACTTCCGATGCTCACAAAAATGCCCAGAAAGTTAACGCTGAGAATACTTAATATCTCTTCCTCTGTGTACTTTAGGCTTTCACCACAATGGAGATTTAGTTTAATGTTAAGACACTTAAATTTAAGTGCCTCCATGAAGATGCCCACACATCTGTAAACTCCCATTACAGACCTACTCATTACAGGCAACAGATGTTAAAGACCTGACTAGCGAGGAGGTGCCTACTTTTGGGTCAACTTAATTACCTTCTAGGCTCCACTGACTATAATAACTAAATACTCAGCTCACATGTAGACATCTACAAGTGGACACCTAAATTCAGATGTTTCAATCTGATGCTGAACCCCACACAGAAATCTAACCATGTATAAGTAACTCTAAGGTACAGTCGGGGAGACAAACAAACGTCTTGAGAGTCCACTTGATGGTCACTATCTGTAGATTTTGCAATTCTGTACAGCAGTCTTCACATTTAGCAGAAAGATTTTCATTAGCTGATTAATTCTATGCTGAGTAGTAAATGAAGGTCAGTATATGGCAACCTTTCTTTGATTCTATGAGAACTGAGCTGTAAAAACTAGCCATTAAATATCTAAGCTTAAAAATTAATCACTAGCATTGCAATCTTGTTTTTTCTCTTCCAAATAATTTTTTCACATGATTTTAGCAGTTAATTTTCTAGAACAAAACACAGTGCTTAGAACTGAGATTCCAAGCTACTTTAAAGAGAGCATTTTGCCTCCTCTAAGTCCTAATTTACAGTGAATCTACAATAAATACTGTTTATGAAATTAAATGGAGTATTGGAAAAAAAGTAGGTGATGCAAACATCTATTCTTGCAAGGTAGTGAAGCTGGATACAGTTGCCTAATACTGCAGGAAAGATAAGAACCTCTCAGTTTCACTATAGCATGACGGATAGTAAACTAAGTTATTTGGCTGTCACCTTCAGGAGCATATTGTTACCTTTTTTATTGCAGCAGGACTGAATATAGAAGGACATCAGACTAGACAAGGTAATATGACCTGTTCCAGTACTGCCTGAAACAGAGATTTTTTTAATTTTTTTTTTTCACTCAGTGATTACAGCTAAAGATTGTAGATATCTTAGAAACAAATCTGTCATTAAAATGCTCCTTTTCCTCTGGCAAATTCATGTTAGTTATACTACATGCAATATTCCTTGTATATTACATTTTAAATGCCTACCATCTATTCATCTTCAGATACATTAGAGAAAGAGCTAAGTTGACTGGAGCAATTTCGAACTCAAAATGTCTTTTCATCCTTACTCCACAAGACAAATTAGATTTGCAAGCATCTAGACCTCAAATCTATTTGCTCTTTAATAATTTAAGAACTGAAAGGTCAAGCAGCTCTTTTCTCTTCCCCTTTATCAAAGTCCAAGTGCTAATGAAAAATAACTAAATCCTATCTGCTGCCCAATTTCCACACACTGCTGTTTCTCTGATGTAAATTAACACATTATAAGCACCTAGGTCAATGGAAACCTGACAGAACGTTATGAGTGATACATTTTACATTTGTACAAATGAGATCATCTTGCTAATGAATTTTACAAAATTATCCCAATTACAATTAGAATCCAAAAGCTTCCTTTAATTCTTACTGCTAAAATTGCTTTCTTTAATACAACACTGCTGAACTGACTACTTTGAAAAGGGTTCAAGCTTAGTGAATTGAGCCAGTACTGCACCAGGACTCTACTATTCCTCTTAGGTATTAGTCAGATTTCCTGCTTGTTTGAAGTTGAATTATTTCTTTACCACACCTCTACATTTCAGAGAATAAAGTCTTCCTACTTTAGAATAAAATCTACACTACTGTGAAAGGTGCCAAAAGCATATTGGCTATTGGTAGAACTTGATTTTTCTGAAGGAAAGAAATGTAATTTAAGTTTAATTCATATTATGCAGTTCCACTATAGAGTTCCAATGCCTTGGAAACTGAACACAAAACCTACTTTTATATAGACTGAAACTTACCATTGCATCAAGAAAGGAACACACCAGAATTATTTTTAACTTCAGATTCAAATATTTCAAATTTGGGGATTAAAAAAGCTTTCTGGGAAAAGTAAAATTTAATGTAGTTTTTAAACTACTTTTTATTTAAACAATTCCAACACAGTTCCAAATTTAAATGATTATGCAGAGATACTGATTTGAACATAATAAGGACTGTAATTTTGGTTAGAAATTAGAGATACCAGGCTTCTCAGATATTTACTGCAGTTGGTTTGCTTAAATTAAAATAGTCTGTCAATGTCTGCTAAATATACCAATTTTTTTCAGTTGAAAAAGAGACACGAAAGAAGAAAGAAAACATGTTAACACAGTAATCAAAGATGCTAAGGATATTTAGACAAATGAACCAAACAATTCAAAAAAGACAGTGTATAGCTATTCTTAAGTACATGAAATGATGGGTTTTAGTAGCTTGCTGAATCAGGACATTATTCCACATTACTGGAATACAGTAAATCAAATTTTAATTAATCAAAGACTCATTCAAAGAGATAAAATAATTTTCCAAGCAGTGCCTATTGGATAAAAGCATGGACATCAGGATTCTTAATACAGAAGTCCTTAACATATACAATCTGGGTATTTATTAATTGAGACTTATGAATTTAGAATTATATCTCCAACAAAAGTAATTCCAAATTGAAAACAAAGGAAAACAAGCTTGATTCTTTCAGTATTGACATGTCAGCTCTATTTTTTCTCTCTAAACAGTCCTGTTGCTTCACCTAACTGAAAGCAACTCCTTGAAGCCATAAAGAATTTTTAAAAATTTATTTTGCAGAAGAGAGATGGCCTAAGGACCTGAATCTAGACTAAGATTATCTGAATTTATTTACTAGTCTTAATACAACTGCTGTGTGTGATCCTAGGCAAGTCATTTAAATATTCTGTGCCTCAGTTAGCTGTTAAATGAGAATGTGAAAGTTTCTTATTCCCTCTGGCCTGCTTCAGTTGTTCAAAACTGAAACCTCTTCAAGACCTTCTTTTCTGTTATCCCTGAAAAAAATAGGGCTTTTTTTCCCTGGGAAATATACAAAGCCTGCAAAGCTGTTAAAATCCACTAACAGTCCCCTGATCAGCTGTGTAAACTGTTGGCCTATTTTTCAGACTGTTAATGATGAGACTG